TAGGCCGCTATTTGCATATAGGGTATTACAAGTTGTACAACAAATGCGTTCCATATATAGAACTTGTGTATAAACCCTGTGCAGCTGACAAACTTGTCCTATGAATCAGCATCTCAGACATTGAACCACACGGATCGCAATTAGCATCAATGAAAAATAACTCAAACCGATTTGTAGAGCATTCAACTTGGCTGTAACGACTTATAAACACCAATTTGAAGAGCCAATGAATTTGAGAGTGGTTGCATACCTTTTCCATTTATAATAATTGACATTATTATATATGTACATACATGCATATTATTATTCTCCTTACTCGGATCACCTGAAATCTACTGACTAAATATTATACCCTTTCATTCTTTGAATATCACATGCCGCTTAATATACCATTTCTTTCCCCCTGCATAACTTTCTTTCCTCCCTATGAACGAAGAAATTTTTCTTCCCAGCGAATTTATAACTGATATACTATTCACCTTTCCTAATTCACCTTCCCTTTCTGACCTTTCAGACACCTCCACTAAAATGCCAGCGCTGCGACCTTTTCCCAGCTGGGTGTCGCATAGCTTGAGCGATGCGGATCCGGAGCTCGTCTCACCTTTCCGAGTCAAGGCGGATCGTTGTGGCCGCCTTTGGGTGTTGGACTCTCGCATCGCGGGCGTGCTGGAGCAGACGAAGCTGTATGGACCGGCGCAACTGTTGATCTACGATCTGCACAACGATGATCTGCTGCGTCGTCACATCCTGCCCATGAGCCAGACGAAACAGAACTCCTTCTTCGCCAATTTGGCCATCGAGGATGCGGATTGCGATAATACCTATGCGTATGCTGCTGACCTGGGCAGTCCTGGTCTGGTGGTTTATTCGTGGCGTGACCAGGAATCGTGGCGAGTGCAGCATCATTTCTTCCATCCCGATCCGTTGGCGGGCAACTTCAGCATCAATGACATCGAGTTTCAGTGGGACGATGGACTCTATGGACTAGCTCTGTCCAAGCCAGAGAGTGATGGCTTCTCCACTCTGTATTTCCACCCACTTAGCTCCACCATGGAGTTCTCGGTGAAGACCTCTGTGCTAAGGAACAAAACGTTGGCCACTTCTGGTGCTATTTACAGGGACTTCAAGATCCTGGGCAATCGTGGCGTAGACGCGCAGGCAGGAGCTCAGTTCCTGGATGCAGAGACCGGTGTTCTGTTCTACACGCTGCCCAATCTGAACTCCCTGGGCTGCTGGCAAACCTCGAAGGGCTACAACGTACAGGACCGCATCTATAGCAACAACAGCAGCTTCGTCTTTCCCAGTGATGTCAAGGTGGACGATGAGCGACGTCTCTGGGTGCTGGTCAATCAGATGCAGAACTTTATCTACGATGAGCTCTATCCAGGCAGCATCAATTTCCGTATTTACATGGCGAATGTGAAGGATGCCCTCGAGCACACAGCCTGCGAGGCAACCAAGACCCTCCCAGATCTCGTTGGCAAGCTGGGCGAGGTGCTGAGGACGAATATCAAGCTAAAGACAGCAACGGATGAGGGCTCCAAATCCGCTGCAGCTGCTCTGACAATGAGTGTAGGCGCCCTGCTGTTAACCCTCTTCTCACTGCTCTAATGTGGATAGAATTTTGTATATAAACCACAGAAAATAATCCCATTTAAATGTAGCCCCCTAGTTTGTAGTTTTTGTGCATAAATATAAGAGTTTTATTTAGACAAAACTTGACCAACGCTCAATATTTGCCCAGTTGCGCCTTTTCTACAGTGTAGACATCGTTGATGTCCAGTGTCTCGACACTCGTTTGGGACTCCCCATCCTCCGGGCTCTTCGAGCGATTCTTTTCCTCATTTTTCAGTTGCAGTCGCCGTATGCAATCGCCACAGAAGAACAAAGTTAACTGGAAAGAAAATACGGTTTGGATTGGAATATTCAAATATTCTTAGTCACACTTACATGCTCCAATATGCCTATGATGCCTAGAACTGAGAGGCCGAGCAGAAAGCCCAAAGAACCGCCAACATCCGCTATAAACTGTGTTGTATCATAGCTCGGACGCTCCTCAATCATCTGCTGAAACATAGCGAAAGGTCGGAAAAGTATTTAAAACTATAGTGAAGTAGAGTCAAACCTCCTTAGTGAGTATATTTCGAAACTATATATTAATCTACAATATATGCCGAACCCTAAGTTCGTAAAGCTCCCAGCTCATATCAAACAAGCCGACATATATAATTTCTATCGATAGTATGAAAAAGGTCATTGCAACAATAAATCATAATTGAGGTTCGTTTCTGTCTGGGTCTAATTGGAAATTTATATTTGCATATTTGAATTGGATTAGATAACTGAAGTAACTGCGCTTCTTATTGATTGTAAACAATACTAAAACAATTACCGATATCAGCTTGGTCGTGTAGTATATGTAGAGTAGGGTCCGTGGCTCGGGCTGGGAAAAGGTTTTCCTGCTCTGTATGTAGGTTGTAAAGATGCGCGATTCGCAGGGTTCCATGCAATTGCATTCGTAATCATCGTCGCTTTCGTATACCCTAAAGAGAATATGGGCAGAATAACAGTATGAAATGGAATCGATGGGCAGGATGAGCCTTACGCTTTGTAGTTCTTGATCAGATTTCGCATGGAGTCGGAATCGTTGCAGGGCTCATAAATCATATCATGCATCCAAGGACCCGAACAGTCCGACTCGTCCGATAAATCATGCCAGATGCATATCTCGCCACACTGAAATGATCGTGGATATATACCTTACCTTACCTGTACTTGAGCGTTACAGGGTATATTATTATAGCGTACCTTTAGATCACTGTATCCCTCTTTTCTTGAACAGGTCTCCTTGTGTGTTTCCACATTCGAAAAATATTGACTTTGTAGCTTGATCTCGATCTGCTCATTGATGCCCGCAAAGACATATTCGACGCGGCCCGAGCCCTTCATGTTGATCTCTATAGTGAGTGACAACTGTAATAACTATGCAGTTAATTCAAATACAATTCCTACCCGTAAAATTTTCACGCTTATCGTGCAGAAAGATATGCCAGCCCGCACCAGATGTCAAGTCTATATCGCTCACAGTTGTAACCAAATTGTGCTCTAACGTTAGGGAATACCCGACCGACTTGGAGACCCTTTTCATGTCCATGAGTGGACGCACCGTATAACAGCGACCCATATAGAAGTGAACGCTGCTATCGATGGCGACATCTGTAGAAGTAACAGTTTGGTATACCTCAATATGGATGATATTTGTCTATCATTCTTACTAGACTTTTCCCCGTTGAGTCCATAGGAATAAAACGTCTCCTCCTGGCTGAATGTGGCATTGTTAAAGAAATCCTCAAACGATACTTCGCCAAAGGGATAATCCATCCAACACGTGGCGAACTTCGGATGTGGACAGTAACCGCGCGATAGATCCTGAATGTGAGTTATTTTTAGATTAATATCATGTATGCAGTGGTTTATTTTGAAACTCTTTATACCCTGAACCCATTGAAATAGGAAATCAGGGTATAATATTTTGTTTAGTTTATCGTTATCATAGATTTTATATATGTATATGCATATATTTACATATGATTGCACAGTTTTACGACCTTTAACACTCATTGAAAATGAAAATAATTTCCGCTGTCTGCCGCCAGAACGTAAAAAGTAGATATATTTACGATGTAAGTGAAAGCAATGCATAAACAGATAAACCCTATATATCCGAGTTCTAAGAACTTTTGTTATTCTACCCAAAATAATATATATGCGTTATAAGCAGCAATTTTGATATTAGACGTAGGCTCATACTATCGTAAATAATATTAGTAACATGCATAGTATGTATCGAACCGAAGTGGGTGTCTGCCAGAGCAATATTATTATTCTATTATTACATTAGATAGTATATTAAGTGTACTCTTCCTTATATAAAGAACCTGTACATCTATAGTAATTGCTTGGAAATCTTTGGATCTGTTACACTAAATGATAATTTTGGTTTTGTATTTTTGAAGGGAACCAAGAATAGCACTATCCATTTGCACTGATAATTTCACAGTAGAGTTTTCGAAAAGTCCTTCGTTTTATTAAATGTCCTTCACAAAACTCACTGACAAGACTTCCTCTTTGTACGGCGGCTCACGACATATCGTTATGGCAGGCATTTCAATCGTATGATTCACATTGTAATAGGAATGCGTGGATATCGGTGGATTTGATAGTTTTGAGAAGCATTCGTATAGCTGCACGATCACAATGATGCTGCAAATGAAGAGAACGAGATAGCGTATGAGCTTCGCAGGATCGCGCAGGAGCCAGGCGCGCAGCTCTAGCCAGTAGCCCATGATCGAACGCACGCAAAAGTGAAAAACAATTGAATGGCAATGTCTCGCCTGGAAAGGCTGTAGACCCTGATATATCCGCAATATCTTTGTTAGGCCTGCTGCATAAGTTCTCACAGTTGGTCATGATAAGCTAATATTGATTTATACCATGTAGTAAAGTGTAGTGCACTAAGGGAAAAGAAAGTTACACTAGCATAAATATCGTCCGTTTTTCTATTACTATAAAATATTTTTAAACTGTTAAAAAATTAAAATTAAAGTTTTTTATAATATTTATTAGGAATTTAAAAAAATTTCATGATCTCTATTAATAATTATATTGAAAATGTTTGTTTTTTAATTTAATATTTATTTTGAAAGCAATTTTAATTTTTTCAATTAATTATCAGGCAATTAAATTTCATAAATTTTATTAATTCATTTCCCCATTTATCTATAATATATTTTTTGTATATTTTTAATTGCCCGTTTTCTCCAAGTGTATCGATAAGGTTTCCAGGTGTTGGGGCGGTTCTCTAGCCAAATATTCGTAGGCAAATGCAACTGTAACTATATAAATCGGCGTATCAAAAAAACATTTGTACAGCTCATTCGGATTATGGCCTTGTTTGCCAGATATGTTAGATAGATTTGTATTGTATTTAACCGAAGCGGTTATTGGGGCGTTAAATTGCCAAAACATATTCCTTATAATTGTTTATGATGGGCGCAGAAAAAAATACGTATAAATATATTTATAGACACATATATGTCTACATAGTATATTGTCAATGGAAAAGTGGCAGTTTCTGTGCTCGGAGTTTGAAATTAATAAGAAAGTTAGAAAATTTTTAATATTTTAACCAAATAAAAAATTGTTATATTTGAAAAAAATCTTAAATAAATCTTTAATATTTAAAATTTAATTACTTATTGATAATTCGGCTCATAACTCTAAATAATTCCCCAGCATGATTCTATCTTCGATTCTAGACTATTTGCGGAGCTAATATCTATATAGTGTGTATCAGAAAAACTGATCATACATGTTTATCTCTTGATGAATATATGACAGATTGTAAAACGTTGCTAAATGTATCATTTATGAAAAGGGTATATTGGTTTTGTGCAATGTCCCGTCTGTCACAAAATGAGGAACAAAGAGGAAAGAGTTTTAATTATTATTCAAATGAGGGATCTATAGGGTTGGAAACTGAAGTCTTCATGTACAGATTTACCTAAAATGAATGAACGAGTATTATGCAGTCAGCAATGCCCGATTGCAGCATTCTGTCTTGTTTGTTTTTTGAAATATTTCGCTTAAATTAAATAATTTTGGCTGATCTAATAGATCTGATCTGTGTAGATCCAGCTTACGTAAAGTAGCTGATGTATATAGTCATATGTATGGGTGTATCTATACATATATAGATGTATTATATACAAACATACACACATGTGTATATTATGACACCTTTGCCTCAAAATGTTTTGACCTTAGCGCTCTGTGCGCTCTGATCGAATGCTAGAGATATATGCATATACACAAGTATATGTTTATACATATATATAGGTATGTGGCACGTAGAGAGCATGTATCTAGGTATACCTTGAGCTTTACAGCAATAACAATTGTGGGTGCAAATCACAAATGAAAGACAAGCTAAAACAATGTGTGCGTATCCAGTGGAAGAGCCAGAGCCAAAGCATTCCACAGTTGTGACGTTCGATCGGAGCAGGGGGCGGGACGAGGGGCCGTGCGAGGGGCGAAACATCAGTCGAATCGAGTGCGACCCACTGCTATACATATATTCATACATATATCGACTATATAGTACACTAATACATAGACGTCGGCCAAAAGGCACAAAAACTAATAAACAAAAAGAAACTTGCGACTAAAAATAGATAAATTGAAACATTTTGCGAGATAGATGAACAAAATAAAACAAGTGAAGAAGAGTCCAACACAGCGCTACAGAAACGGGACGTGAGTGTGGACATGTGAGTGTGGATGTGACTGTGAGGCTCTGGCTGACTGCCGCAAGAGTTTTGCTTTACTAGCGACAGATACAGATACAGATCAGGCTGAATGTATCTGTGAGATACTTTTCTTTAGACGTACCACACGGCGTATGCTTTGCTCAGGACACAGCCAGAGATTCGTTTGGCCCAGCTATCTCGCTCTCCCCAACCATCTCTGTCTCTATCACTCACTATCGCTCTTTCTCTGTCTAGCTAGTAAATTTCAGATATTCCTCTAGATATACGTGTGTATACGTTTTGAAATAGCCACGAGATACGGCTGCACAGTCGAAATGAAAAAAAAAAAAGAAAATGTTCATTTGTGTTGAAGTTCTACGCTTCTTCGCAACTGAATAGCTTTTGTTTTAAATTTAGACCAAAGCAGCGGCTATATTAAACGCATATGAATGTTTTTTAGATTTAGTAGATACACA